TTCATCGGTCCTCTGTTGACAATTCATATCTGGCATTATGACATGGTCATCAAAATCCCCTTCGTGAATGCATTTTGGGCAACTAAAATATCCTGCATGACCTTTCACATATGTAATGAAAGACCTTGCAGGGCTATCACAAGAGATTTTCGAAATTTCTACCTGACATTTATTTTTTTCAAACACTATGCCATTCAATAAAATGTTTTCCATCTCATTGACAAATTCCAATAAATGTATATTGGCATCATTTGGCTTTGCTTGGCCATGATGCACCCCAACAACAAAACGTTTACTATTTTGTTCCTCGATCATTAACTGGATTGGCCAAAATGTACTACCAGTGCTTGTGTTATGGACCATCACAATTTAATTGTAATTTAATATTATTAAGACAGTTTTTGTATATTTTAGTCATTGCTCTAATAATAGAACTTGCTACGTCAAAATGTGCATATGAACCCCCATTAACTACCTGAATAATTCCATTTACATCTTTAATATGTGCAATATTTTCTTAGCTCACTTCTTGATTGCAATGTCTTCTGTATTCTTGCATTCTTTGCGAAATTATTTGTCGAACCCTCCGTTTGGATACATCCCTTAATGGTTTGCGTGTATTCAATTTCCTGCAATGCATTTTTTTATTTTATTAAAAAATACTTAAATGATTTGTTTGATATTACTTGTAGTTGATGGCTCTATAAAACGCCACAGAATAAGCCTCTATACATTCTCTATATGTTTTGTCGAACTTTGGTCATCCTGACTTCATGATCATCCATCCATCTATCTTGCCTGACGTTATTTAATGTCTTTTGTATCTACGTGATTCGTTAAGCTCGTTTTAGTTTTGAATGATTTTCTGGTTTGTGCAATCCTAAATTATCTTTAAAATCATCCGGTTTAACAGGTAAATTCAGTTAATTTTTCTTGCTTTCTTCATAGATAAAAATGTTGGTAACAACTTAGCAAACGTGAATATTCTTATTTACAACATTTTCGAATGTTTATGTAACCTCTCTATAGAACGCTTTATAGTAGCAGCAGAAAATGTACACGCGCGCCTTAATGAATTTTGCAAATGGGATTGATAGGTCAGAAGTGCCTTTGGATGATTGATCAAAAAACGGGATCAGGTGACGAAGTGCTGGTGGCCGCCAAAAGCAATATCATCAATTATAAAAAACGCAGTGCCTGATCAAACTGCTTGGACGGTGCAAGACGTTTCGGTGGTGCGTTATTTTAGTAAGTGTACTTGTTTAAGCAAAGAAAAACAACCATGTTACAGTTTAAAAACAATTGCATTGCTGAGATTCCTTCTTCAAAGCGAGGGTTTACGCCAAAGACAGCGATTACACTTCGGAAGAAGCAAATTTGGGAAAAGGATGTCGGGTTAAAGGACCTAAAATATTACATTTAAATATAGAAGATAGTAAGTAAAATAACCTTCATATCATGAAAAAACGCAATATATATTGGTCAGAATATATTCTGACGGCTTAACATTTTCAGTGCACGGTGCTTTGGCGCCGGGTTTTGTGTTACAATTCTTAGAATATTTCAGCCTCTGGCCTGTGTCCTTCGCACAAGGGCTCATTTTTTTTGTATTTAAATACTTCCTGTATGAACACTGTATCCAGTAATTTTAAGTTAGTCCAGACAAAGCAGCGGAACAGTCGACAAGTATATATTCAATCACCGCTGTATTTGTAATAGTTTGAAGATATTAATATAGATTTATACCAATCACAGTGTTTATATTCAGTAAGATTCAAAATTGAAAAGGTTATCGTCAGATAACAATTATTTACTTACAGTCCGCTTTATTATTAATTACTGATGGTAGCCAGCCCAACCATTGGTCATCTTCGAGCCGTATATTAAGTTTGTTATAAATACAACTAGTGCCCGGTTAGTGCTTAATATAGTAAATTACCGGTAAATTAATAGAACTTTGTACGGATTATTTACTGGCATAAATTCTGTGTTTGTGTTAAATTTTGATTGGTGGTGTGTTATGAGCACGTAATTTGCACGTATCGCGATAAACTGTGATAAAATTTAATAAGTGCAAGTGTTTTCCCGCCAATTAATTCTACGTGTTGTTTTGTGATCTAATATCCGTGACGGTAGTGCATTTTTTTAAACCAGAGAGCTGACTTCAATCTTTTGGTGTTTTATCTGAAGCAGCTTATATTTTCCTGGACATCCGGCACACCAGATCAATTTTCTGATAGATCAGCAACTGAAATTATCTTCGACTAATATTGAGACTCAATATTTTTGGTAACTTGGTATTTGCATCCAGAGTGCTGACTTCATCTCTTTAGAAAGGAACCAGCTCATACTTTCCTGGACAGCGTGCTAACCAGGCCAACCCAATACCAGAAACATTCAGATGAATCCAGAGTGCTGACTTTGAGGACCTTCCTGAAGAGCAGCTCATACTTTCCTGGACCAATTTCATGACTACGGTTGTAATCGTTGTTTATTTATCTTTATATTTATCTTACTGATTATTATTATTTGTTAGTGGCATTTTTGACTAATACTTGTTCGCAAAGGCTTTGTATTTAATTTATATTTAGCGCTACAAAATTTTAGATTTCTGTAACAATCATATTTATAAATTTGTAACAGTTAACGCGTCAGGTATTAGATAGTTTATTTAACAAAAAGTTCAATCATTGTAAACTATAATCAGTCAGATTAAATAACCTAAAATGGCAGAATTTGTGTACAGAAATGGCAGAATTTGTGTGCAGAACATGTATTGTATGTTTATATATATATATATATATATATATATATATATATATATATATATATGTATTTGTATGTATGTATATATATATGTATATTACTTATTTACATGTATGTTTGTATGTATGTGCATATGTATATGTGTATACATGTATTTGTATATACGTATATATGCATGTATGTATATGTATATGTATATATATATATATATACATATATATATATATATATGTATATATATATATATATATATATATTTGTGAGCATTTATGTACATATGTATATATATATGTATTGTGTGTGTATATATATATATATATATGTATATATATATGTTTTTTTTTTTTTTTTATAGAGAAGGAAAAATCTTTCAAAGACACCGTGTGTTTAAAAGATGATGGACGGTAGTGTGGGATTTCCACCCACTAAAAAACCTCCTCTCCTCATTTCCCCGCATATGATCACGAGGAAGACTGGGTCGGAACCGCGTTAGCATTTCTTCAACCCAGTCCGTGTTGCGTCACGTGACGTTCGTTAGCTCCTAAGTTTATTGGTCCCCTCGGCGATTTTTGCTGTCACTAGGCGCCGTGCATAAGCTGCTACCTCGGCCCAGTTTTTCTTGCTTTGCAGCATAGTATTTACAATGTTCTGGGGATTAAGGGCCCTTCCCAGGGACAATTCGGTGTCAGCCCTGAAGTTCTTCCAGCGCGTGCACTTAAAAAAGGTGTGCTCAGCATCGTCGGCTTTTTCCGGACAGTATTTGCACGTCGGTGATGTGTGCAAACCGAACCTGAAGAGATATGCATTGAACGAGCCATGACCCGTCATCATCTGAGTTAGAAAGAAGTCTGTTTCGCCATGCTTCCTGTCGAGCCAGGCCTCGATATTAGGGATCAGGCGTGCTGTCCATCTACCACGATCAGACGCCTGCCACCTTACTTTCCATTCCTTCAGGGTGTCCTTTCTCACCATTGCCCTCGCTTCGCTGGCATTGAGGCCTCCTTTTTTGAGGGTTATACAACCTGGCCCTTTCATTTGCCAAAAGGTCTATAGGCGGAGCTCCAGCTATAACAAGCACTGCGTCTTCGGAAACTGTGCGATAGGCACAAGCCACTCTAAGTGCTCCTCGCCGCTGCACTGCTGCCAGTTTCTTACGATACGTCTTCTGTTGTAATGTATGCGCCCAGATTTCCGCTCCGTAAAGCAGGACTGAGTGAACCACCTTCAGGAGAGCTCTTCTCTTTTTGGCACGTGGGCCGATAGTATTGGCCATGATTCTCGATAGACTAGACACAGTCTTGCTAGCCCTTGTACACGTGCGTTCCAAGTGTTCACGGAATGTCAGCTTTGCATCTAACTGAACGCCCAAATAGCGGACTGACTTTGTAGACGTCAGTGTTAGCCCGTCGATGATTGTACTAAACGGTTCTGCGAACCATTTTGGCGCGTGTTAGGACTACCATCTCCGTTTTCTCTTTGCTAGCTTCAGATGGTGCTGGTCCAACCAGGCCGCGACGGCTTCGATGGTGAAATCGACCAGTACCTCGGCCTCTTCAACGCTGTCTGCCACAATAGTAGCTGCGACATCATCCGCAAACCCTGTGAGATGCACCTGCGGGGGTAAGGGAATTTCGAACAGCTCGTCATAGTCAGCGTTCCACAGATCAGGTCCCATAACCGAACCCTGTGGTGCACCAGCTGTTATATTGCGGCTCACTGTTCCCTCAGTGGTTTCAACGATGAGTACTCGATCGTCCAGGTAGCTGTCCACCATTGTCAAGATGTCATCTTTCACCCGGAATCTCTCTCCAGCGCCTCCAGTATATCCTTCCACGATGCGCTGTTGAAAGCATTCTTCACGTCCAACGTGTGAGAAGTATACAAACTTTCCTAGACTTTAGGCTGCCAGCCCACGACTTTGTTGCGGTTTCTACAACTTCTTTGATTGCATCGATGGTTGATCGCCCTTTCCGGAAGCCGTACTGGCTTAAGGAGAAACCTCCGGAGATTCAACATCTTTTCGAAGTCTGGCTTTGATAAGTTTTTCAAGCAGCTTCCCAGTTATATCCAGCATACACAGTGGTCTGTATGATGAAGCTGTTATCGGAGATCCCTTTCCTTTGTCGAGAAGGACGAGTCTTTGTCGTTTCCAGACAGAAGGGAACGTTCCGATCACAAGGCATGCATTGTAAAATTCAACAGGATGTTAGGAAATTCCTGTGCAATGAGCTTAATCACTTGTGTTGGAATACCGTCAGGGCCGGGTGCTTCCCTAGTTTCAGGGTTTTTGCTGCGGTTTGCAGTTCCGAAACAGTGAACTGCAACACATTGGTGGTGTTCTTGTAGCGACTCTTCTTCCGCGCTGGGTGGTTTGGGAAGAGCTCAGTAACAATCTGGTTCATCATAGCCGGGCTTTTTGGCGGCTCTGGTAAGGTTCTACCCAATCCTTTTGCGACTATATGGTAGGCTTTGCCCCAGACATCGTTATTGAGGTCGTTGCAAATTTCTGCCCACAGCTTGCCTTTACTGGACTTGATGGCTCTATTGAGCTCCTTCTTGGCCGCCTTGTACTCATTGGAGTAGTAGGTCTGAGCTGGGGAGTGCTTAGCAGCTCTTGTTGCTCGTCGTCGGAGTTGGTGACATTTTTTCCTCAGCTCTGCGATTTCGCATGTCCACCAATATGCTGGCCGGTGCAAGTCCTGTGTTTTACGACGTGGCATAGAAGCATTGCATGCTGCAGTTATAATCTTCATCGTTTTTGTTACAATGTTTTTCGTCTCGCTGCTGTTAGTTGGGAACGGATGTGATTCCAGTGTCACCCACCCCCGCGTGAGGGATTCGTAGAGCATTAATGTCCAACTTCCTGGTATTCCAGCTGCATCTTTCGTAATCTCGGTGTACGTGGTGGGTAGTCTCTTCTATCCAGTAGATGATGGATTGATGATCACTTCCAGTGTATTCCTCGGAGACCTTCCAGTCCTGGATTCTACTGGCAGTTTTTGGAGTCGCCAGAGTAATATCGAGAATTGACTCTCGATAACCAGGTCTTCTAAATGTCGACGTCACTCCAGTATTTAGGACCGTAAGATCGAGCCTCGCTGCCATGTCCGCAACTTCGTTTCCCCTGGTGTCTGAGAAATCTGCGCCCCATTCCACAGACTTAGCATTGAAGTCTCCAGCTATTAAGTCTTCGCCATTAAATCCACAGATGGTGTTCTCGATGCTGGTCAGCTTCTGGCGAACACGCTGATTCCTTCGTTGGGAGATAAATATACGCTCATGATATACATTTCAGGGGTTTTTATCCAGACATAACCATCCCCAGATCCGGTAGCTACGGGAGTAATCTTCCGAGTCACTAACCAGATAGCTGCTGTACTCGTCTTATCCACGTACCATGATTTAACAAGTGCGCTCTGGTATTGTTCGCTGATTATGCAGACGTCAATTTTGTCCTCAGCTACGCGCTGGTAAAGTAGGTTCTGCGCAAGCGAACATCTATTCAAGTTTCCTTGAAGTATTCGTGTCATTTCTGCGCTTTCGTCGCTTCCGCTAGGGCGGCTCTGTATACATTACATGCACCCGAACCGGAGATATGGCACACGCTATCTTGTCTTTTCCATTTGAAGTGCACAGAAAGCATTTTGGTTGTTCGTGCAGTCTGCTGATTTGTGGTTCTCCCACCGCACTTATAGCAGCATTGCTCCGATCTGGTCTTTACAGTAGCGAGACTGGTGTCCAAATCCGAGACATTTG